GCCCACGACCGCCCCGACGACCACCTCCGCGACACCTCCTCCTGTCAGACCCGCAAGCGACGAGTGACTCCCATGCGGGACACGGCGCGCATCCTCTCTCTCACCTGCGTCAACTCCTCCTTCGTGACCGTCACACGGGCTCCTCGGTCTGCTACAAGTTGCTGGTCGATGGACACCTCCTCCTCCACCTGCAGCCAGTAGTGCACCCAACTCCCATACAGATGTGGCCTGTCATTGGGAGCATCGTCCGACATAGCCTGCCTGTCGAGGAGCCGAAGGTTCCAATGGCATCGCACGAGCTTCTCGGCCTGCGCCACCTCCAATCTGTTACGAGATTTGGAGTGGATGAGACTCCAACGGGACCAAGCTCTCTCGCAAGGCGACGCAGTCGCCCACACACGCAGTATCYTGCCAGCGAAGAAGGCCGTGTGCAGGAACCTCTTCTCCTTCGACTCCCAGAAACAGGCTGGATGGGTATAGCTCCTCGCCGCCCGGTCCATGGCCACGTCGTCGAACGGCGGCTCCCTAGAATGAAACTTGTCAATGGCAGTGAGGACCTCGTTGTGCTGATCCGAATGTTCCAGGTACCCAAACTGAATCAGAGCGAGTTTCAAACTGTGTTGCATCTCCCCGTCGTCTGGCATCGTGCGGTCTCGAAACTCGGGGTCCAACATCATGGCAGCAACATGAGCAGGCGACTTGAACATGGTGCGGCGTCTGTCAAACACTTCAAGCAGCGCGTCTTGCTCGTCCTTCTCCAAAGCGGCACATGCAGACAAGCAACGTACAATCATCTCGTCGTACGCAAAATCTTGCCAATCTGCCTCGGGTCGCTGTCCACCATCTGCAGCATGTCCATGATGGGATCCAACAACTTGCACATCGCTCTCATATCCTCCTACCATTGAGGACAACCGACAGATGTTGTGACCTCCGCGGCATCGTTTCGAATCTTCTTCGTTGACCAAACAGTGTCCTTCCATCGATCATCAACGACCACCTACATAAGATGCGATTGCAGCAGAAGAAGTCATCGCATCATAATCACATGCGTACCGAAGTGAGTCTCGGCGGGAAGCAGCAGAGCCTTCGTGGTGAAAGCTTGCAAAACTTCGCGAGCGTGGCTATAACGCTAGAAACCTTTGTGACCAAACGCGCCTGAGCNACGCTAGAAACCTTTGTGACCAAACGCGCCTGAGCAATGCGGGTCGCCACCCAGTCAATGTCGCCGATGTCCTCAAGGATGAGGTCCATGACGTGTGCCACACAAGGAATCCAGAAGATGTGCTTGACACTCTCATCCTTCTGGAACACCTCCATCGCAGAAACGTTCGAACTGGCAGAGTTTGTGACGAAAGCGGTGATGTCRGCGAGCTTGATGTCAAGGGACTTCAACCTTCGCAGCCAAGCCTGCGCCAGAGCAGTGGCATCCTTCTTTCCTCGCATAACATCTGTCACGACATATGCGGCGCCTCATGTAGTGCTGACGAGATAGTTGCACAACGTTTGGCCCCGAATGTTGGTCCAACCGTCTGTCATTATCGTGCAACCGTAGGTAGCTGCAGTAGCGAGGACACGTTTCACACACTTTTGGACTTCCACATCAAGCTCATCCAAAAGTGTGGTACGGATCATGTGATACGTTGGGGGTTTTGGGGTGGGGACTCATGGAACCCCAGGCGGGATGATCAACGTCAACATGCGTTTGAAGCTCTCAAGCTTCACACAGTTGAACGGCATGCTGCTCTCAACAATGAATCGCATGATCTGCAGGTGCCATGCGTGCTCCAGCGGGTTGTTGTAATACGAGGTCACCGCCTGCTGCCTGTAAGTGCCCCTCACTCCTGCACCGGCGCCCATACCTAGCGAATCCCACACCCCGCCCCCGGCCGCAGGTGATGCGGTGGGGCCTGGACTCGGAGCGGCAATGTTGCGCAGATTTTGTAAAGGATCCAGTGTCCCGAAAACACCGTGCTGCGAGGTCGGGCCGTTCACGGGCACAGGAGTGGGTGACGAATCCGAAACCTGAACGGGCTCGTCGAGCGGGACGTTTCCCGCACACTCAGGGGTCATTGCAGAGGCCTCGCCAACTGGTGCCGAAGTCAAGTCTGGTGTAGGCCGTCGTGTTTGTGAAGGAGGGGGAGACAATCATGGATACGCAACGGATTGATGTCCTGTTGCGGGTGCTCCTGCCACGGCCGGACGTGTGCCTGCGCGTCGAACTCTTGGGACCTTGTCCCTGTTACCAGTGAACAACGGGGTGAGGCCGGATGATGTGCCAGCGTCCTTCCCCCACCCATCACCCTTGACGAAAGCACGAGTGCCTTGCTCGTCGAACGACACAGGTTCCCCGACACCCGAAACAGGCACGGTGCCTTGCGCATCATGCTGCACTGCCACAGATGGCCTGCCATCAACGGCTGCGGGAATCGTCTGACGAAGCGGCGCAGGTAAGACTGTCGCCGGACGAGGGGGGAGGGGAGCAAGTGGTGCACATGGAGATGGCACCACTTGCGACGGGGCAGCGGTCGACGGGGGCGGCGGAACGACGTTCTCAGGAAAACGGAGAGGTGGCCATTGAAAAGAGGGAGACTCTGCAAGGCCTGCACGGCAAAAGCCAAGTGTGCAGGACACTTGGACATATCCTTTGACCAAATCGCGTGCCACACCGCCGGAGTCGCCACGGGGCATCTATACCCCTCGCCACGAAAAAAGTGTTCCTTCGCATCACGAGCACCCCCACATAGAGAACGACTGCATAACCTGCACAAACAACGGGGACCGTTCTTCCTCCCGACCACAGTGGATCCATCTAAATAACAACCACGAGCAACGAAATGCCAAACAAGATCATCTCGTTTTTTGTCCGCCTTTGGATCCACCTTRAAAGGGGAGTCAAAGGTCTTCGTGTTGTGACCTTTTCTATTACCCTCCGCCCTTTTCCCCGTTGCCAAGGAGGACTCCGCGGGGCCCTTCGCATTATTGCCTCGTGGGTCAGACATGTTGTGGAGACCAAATGAAATCCGCAGAAGGGGTGAACTGAAACGAACTCCGACGTCGACGACAAAGAACTGCACCGAAGTTACTGAACAACCGACGAATTAACCTGTAAAAGATGGACAGTGACAGGAACGTAGACAAGTTCCACAACAACCATAATGACAAACAAGAGAAGGAACAAACATAAAGACCTCTAGAGAGAAGAAAAAAAAAACACCCATAGAAAGAAAAAAAATAATAAACAAACAAACACACATTCCACGGCATCCCATCTTTGCTGCACCCCCTAGATCCCCCGTGCATAGTCGCTCATGGCGGTCCCCCTTGACCCCCCATGCATAGCCGCTCATGATGGTCCCCCTTGACCCCCCATGCATAGCCGCTCATGGCG